AATAAAATATCAATTCCACTTAGGGGGCTCGCTAGTAGCCACGGGACCCTAAGCAGCCGTTTAGTCCGTTTATGCGTCGGGCCGGCCTTGGCCTGCTGAGTAGACAAAGAACTGGACTGTCCCTCAGTGGTCTAATGTCCTCTTTTTAGATTAAAGTAAATGTTCTTGTCATTTATAAAGCAAGATCCCAGAGTGTGGAGGGAGAGCGGAGAGGTTCAGAATCCACATTGTTGAGTTGTTTCCACAGTCAGTGATGGTTTTGGTCCATGTCCTGCCGGTTCTGGTCCACTGGGTTTTCTGAAGTCCACAGTTCACGCAGCATCTAGCAGGACCTTTTAGAGACTTGATGCTTCCTGCTGCTGACGAGCTTTATTGAGATGCTGGTTTCATTTTCCAGCAGAACTCGGTACCGGCCCACATCGACAAAGGTGCCAGAAACTGGCTGTGGAATATTCTGCTGCCGTAGATGTATTTCTTTTCACTTTTGAAAAGGAACTCCTCTTTCTGTGTGGAGTTTGCATGTTCTCCTCGTACTGGTGAAGGTTTTCTCCGGGTACTCCAGTTTCCTCCCACAGACCAAACACATGCACGTTAGTCTTCAGGCCCAGGCCTCCTTTGCAATAGAGATCTGTGATCTCAGTGGGATTTGCCTGCTTAAATAAAGGTTAATAATAAAATAATAATTTTTGGCACCTTGTTTTTGTATTTCTGTTGCATGCTTTGGTATTTGTTGTTGTTTTTTTTGTTGAGCTGAAACTGTTCCTCTTGTCCTCAGCATTTCATTGCATTGTTGACCTTGTGTTGATTTGCATGTGACAAATAAACCAAACCTGATGATTTTCATTTTCGGAGACACTGAAGTTTGTTTTTTCATTACGTGTAAGCCATAATCATCAAAATACAAGAAATAAAGGCTTGAAATATTTCACTCTGTGTGTAATGAATCTATTTAACGTGCGAGTTTCACTTTCTGAAGTGATTGACATAAAAACTGAACTTTTCACGATATTCTAACTTTTTTAAAGTACAGACACACAGACAGGGTCAGAAATATTACATTATTGTGCGAACTATCAGAAAAGCAAGTTCTGACGAAGAACCCAGTCCTGACCCAGGGGGAAATAAAACCACCTCACAGAAGACACCCGGAGGATCAAACTTACTGTTGAGACTTTGCACCACGGCTGACATGGAGCAGCATGAATATCCTGAGTCGGTCTTTGTCCAACAGGGAGGAGGTTTGCCAGGAACTGTGCCCCTTCCAACTGTGGCTCTGTCAAGACTGTCACCACGATGGCTGCTGCCTGAAGTATTAGAGCCTGGATCCTTCCACTGAGCCTACAGGATTACTGCTAATGGGATTTCCCCTCATGGTTCCCTCTCATTGGTGTTGTCCCAGTTTACCTCAATGTGTAACTATAAAATCTCTGCTGAGGTTTAGGGCTTCCTCTTCTGCTCACTGCAAAATGGATCCAGCCTCATTGCTTTGCTTTCAATTCAATTCAATTCAAAAAGACTTTATTAATCTCAGAGGGAAATTAAATGTTGTTGCTCATCATCCTGGTTTCATTCAAGAGTTGTTGTTGTAGAAGCTGTTGGCTGTGGACAGGAAGGATCTCTTGTGGTGGTCCGTCATAGCGGATCTGAAGAAACTGGCCACAGACGTTGATTTGTTTACTTGGACTTGGTGAGACTCTCTGTCCTGCTGGGCAGCAGGACCACCTGAATATTCTCTGTACTGAAACTGTTTCAGGGTCTTACCACCAGCATTACCGCCATCAGCTGGGACAGTTAGTAGGAGCCAAGCAGGTCTGCAGATGATGATAAGAATAACAAACTCTCTGCTTACTTGAGGAAAAGGTGGTAAACTCCAGGGCATGAGAGTCCAAGGTTCCAGGGTCAGTCCAGTGATGTCCCACGACGATCAAGGGATAACTTAAGCAAGTGGAAAAGGCAAGGAGGGAATGAAGGAAGTACATAGAGTCCAGGGTGTCAAAGGAGCTCAGGAGATTCTGGGAGGTGTAGGAGCAAGGACTTAGAATAAACACAACTCTAGAAAATTCAGCAAAGGGCCAGGAACACACTACCATCAGGCAGACCAGCTGGTGGCTGTCTACTGCCATCTGGTTGGCAGGTTGTAGAATGATGAAGTCCTCTGGATGGGGGACAAAATGATTCTCACTTAAAGAAACTGGTCCAGATGACACGATTTAACCTTTTTTGTTGCTGTTTGTTTCTTTCTACCTGGATGATTAAGCTTACAACCCTTTCTCTGAACCACTTTGGCCTTGGTTGTCCTCAGGCTGTTTCTGAGTTTGGCTTGAAACACAGCAGTGAAGGCTACCTACAGTATGGGGCAGATCTGGTTGGCAGACCGTAGACTGAGGAAGCCCTCTGGATGGGGGACGAAATGTTTCTAACTTAAAGAAACTGGTCCAGATGACACAATTGAACATTTTTGTTGTTCCTGATCTTATGGTTGTTCTTACGGTTCACACATATTCTGGGTCCTTAGTAAATCGTCACAGTGAAAATAAACGCACTGTTTTCTAAATTTCACAGATTCACACACTTTCCAACCAGAGACATTAGCATTCTGGATCAGGTTTATTGTAACATCCCAGGTGCTTACAGAGCAGTAGGAGCCCCAAAGTTGGGTATGTCTGACCACATTTCTGTGGAGCTGATCGTACAAGCGATTTGTTGGATCCTAAACCAAACAACAGATCAATACAAGTGTGGATTGGGGAGGCTTCCCCAGAACTAAAGTACTGTTTTAAACACACAGACAGGAGTTTTAAAAGAGGGCACAGATCTAGAAGGATACACGTCTTCAATAAATCCATCAGGGTTATTTATTAATTTTATTTTATTTTTTTCAAAATCAGATATTATGGTTGGACAGTGCAGTGTCCGTTCCTGCTCAAAGCCTTGGATGCTGTTCACAAGACAAGGGATAAACTGGTTTATAGTAGAGCCTGGAAGAAAACCCACACATGCACGGAGTGAACATGCAAACTATTCAATTCAGTTTATTTATAAAGCACCAAATCACATCAAAGTTGTCTCAGGGACTTTACAGGAACATTCACATAAAAGCCAATTAGTAAAGTTCTCTATCTAAGGAATCCAGCAGACAAGTTGAACCTTGGCTTCGTTGCAGTCTCCCATCCTGAGCAAGCACAGTGGAGACAGTGGAAAGAAAAACTCCCTTTAACAGGAAGAAACCTCCAGCAGAACCAGGATCAGGACAAGAGACCATCTGCTTTGACCGGCTGGTTGGAGAGGACACCCAGAAAGGCCCCTGGACTGGGATTTGACTCGGCGACCTTCTCGCTGAGAGGTGGCAGCTTTACCAACTGAGCCACCGTGCCAATTTTTGATAAATAATTTGTGAAATTACTATTGTTCATTTCATGTGTTAAATATAGACATTCACAACCACATCAAAACTTCAGTGTTTCATTTTATTCAAACAGCTTGAACACATTATACTGAGTCTTTTACCATTAAACACATAACACATTATTAATATTTACAGATATGTTTACTTAATATTTATACATTTATGTATTCACAATGAATAATATAAAATAGTTGCAAAGTGTATTTTACACCTTTTAGTGGCATTTGCACTTAGATTTTGACTTGAATAGGCTTCATGTGCTTTGTTTTCTTGAACTCTGAGCTTTATAACTTTTTTAAATTTATCCAAATGTTGCTTGCTAAAGCTCAGAAGTCACAGAATACGAAATGGTAAAATAAAATAAAATATGAAACAGCTACCTGGATTATAAATGTAGAAATTGCTTTTTTTGACAGTATTCCCTGGAAGTCCCTTTAACTTTGAGACAGTTACAGAGGAAAAATCAACCACTTTATTTAACTGAAAATATTCCTTTTTTAAATATATTTTTCCTAAAAAATAAATAAATGAAAATAAACACAAAATAAAATAAGTAGTCAATCTTTATAGTCATCTCAGCTTGAAATAGAATTATCAAATTTAAATGCCATTTTTATTATTTTAACTCTTTACGGGCCTTTAGTTTTAAAAACTTCACATTTTAGCTTTTAAAAAAAATGACAGAATGTTTTCTTTCTTTTTTTGGGGGGGGGGGGGGGAGTGGGGGAAGAGCATTTTTTTCCCATTAATATGTCCAAAAGGATTTTTGGACTAAAAAATTCCAGTCCAGAGTTTTGTGAAGACCCTCCAGCCCAAATGAGGCCTTGTTTTCAGTCGGACTTCCTCCTGTCTCTCTGCTGTCACACATGGAGGCGTTTTTCTAATCTTCCATTTTTTTAGCTCCACTTGTGGCAGAAACATTAGTTTCTTGTTAGTTTCTGTTCTTACTGACAGATATTCCAGTGGTCTGCAGGAGCACGGTGCACCCACTGATGACGTCCTGCTGTGGGATAAACCATCAGCTGTGGAACGTCTCATGCTGCAGCCTGCGTGCACGTGGAACAGCTTTTTACCACTAAATGTTTACTCGTGCACGTTACAAGTGAGGTTTTGCTCTTTAGATCCAAACTAAAACGGTTTCCTGCTTCCTGGGTGAGGTGAAGTCTGTCTGTAGTTTTTACAGAAGCTCTCAAACATAAAAACAGAGCTCCACCTGGTGAGCTCAAATAAAAATCTGAAACACAGGGAAGGAGGTAAAAAGAAGAACATTACTGAGAGGAATGCATTATTTTATTAAATGATAAATATTGGATTAAAAGTTGTATTTTCAGTGTGTTTTAATGTAGATTTCCCCCCTCAGGAACACAAGAGTGTAGTAAAGTTACTGTGAGCTTAGGAGAGCGTTGGAACAAAATTCTGACTAAATAAAAAAGTAGAATAATTTTAGGCTTTGTCAGAAACAAATCGTGTTTTATCATTGCACCAAAATAAATGAACAAACAACAACACAGATAAAAATAAACGTGTGGCTGGTGTTTCCCTGCAAGTTCTTCCACGGGTTAAGAGTGCATGAGTATGTTTGTTGTGCTTGCTCTCAGACGTCAAGTGACGGCCGGAATTGTTGTGCTTTTTGAGCCAGTATCCTTGCAAACTCTTGGACCTCCTGGAGAACTTGCTTATCTGGAAAGAGCAGAGCTGCTTTCTTAGTGGCCACAGCCAGTTGCTTCAGAAGAGCACATAAATGGTGGCTCTTGCACAGGAGGCTTTGGCAGGACCCTCGATGATGGGCCTCTTTGTAAAGGGTATGCACCAACCTCTGGCCCACCATGATTACCAGCTTACTCTGTGGGAGGAACTTCTCTGGTGGCTGGCCATTGTGAAGGCTGTCCACAAATCCTCTGATAGCTTTCTGAAGAGCTCCAAAATAAAGACGGCAGTGCTCTGTCTGGGAAGATGGCGGCTGTTCTCTTGCACTGCTGGAACAGTCAGATGGATGACTGATGTCAGTCTGAAAGGAAAATACAAAGGCTTAAAATAGTCCGATATATTCTAGACAAAAGACCATGCTTTGGACCACAGAGCTTTTTCAGAGTTATATAAAACTCAATAATGTTGGTATATTACATACTTTTTTAGAGACTGGGGGGTCATTTTGTATTAGTTTCTTCTCCTGCTTCCTTTCTTCAACATTTGTCTGAGGAAAATGCAAAACATTACATTTACGAGTAGCTCTTGGGTTTTTGTTGGCTAAAGGCTAACCAACTTTATCAACAGTTTTCTATATTTTTACAAGACTCATAAAAGAAGCTTTAACCTGTAAATCTTCATAGTCATCGTTGTCTTCTGCTGATTTTCCTTTTTTCAATTTGACAGGACTTTCCTTTATCTCTGGAGGACTTCTGGTGTTCACAGATTCTTGATCTTTCTGAAGCGTTTTAAACAGAAGCTTGCTGTTGGCGTAGATGATGGACACGAGGCGCTTGACGTCATCTGGAACAGTACGTGCCACCAAAACAAAGCGATCGAGCTGGTCAGGTGTCTGAACTTGGCTTAGATCCTGACAGAGTGCACTGAGGGACCAGCCTGCTGTCTTCAGACTGCTTGCAGTTTGGTGTAGGATCCCAGCGGAGTCCTCTACGATGGTCAGCTGTTTGTAGAGTCTGGTCTGCAGGTTGGCATCTGTTAAACAGCGGGCATTTCCCTTAACGTCCTGGGCAAAACCTAGGAAGCATGTCAAAGAGCATACTATACTTTCTACTGCTTCTTTAATCTCTTCCAGGTGTTTCTCCAGATGTTCTTTACATCTCCAGTTACTACTGACAAAATCCATGAGCTGTGGCACAGCCCTGCAAACAGACTCCTGCAGGTCAAGGACTTTGCGGCAGGCCTCGTCCTGACTGAGCATCACTTCTCGTAGCGGTTCAGGAGAAGACGAGCTTAAAGTAAGAGAGTCACACGAGCTAGTCGATGAGCTGGAGGTGAGGCTGATTCTTTGACTGTTGGATTCTGAGAAAAACAGTCTACTCTGATTGTCTTCCTGCACAAGTGATTCCTTACTTCCTGAAGGATCACAGAAAGTAGTGCAAGCCAAAAAGTTCCTCATCCGCTGCAGTCGCACCCTTTTGAGTACATTGCTTGAGTCACCCTTGCACTCAGGAGGATTATGATCACCTAAGGGATCAGGGATACTTCTGCTTAGGGGTTCTTCCTTTGATGGAAAATCATAGACCGACTCTTCTGTGGGTGGCTGAGTTGGGGGGTTGACATAAGGTGGAACTTGTAACACTTTATAGGGACTTGGGATGTCAAGAGAATCAGACACTGGTAAGTTACACGGTGAGGCAGTAACATTTCTTCTTTGATTGGGTGGAGTACATGATGGAGGAATGTCGTAGATCAGACTGGAAGTGGATTTGGAGGGCAAGGTATCATATACATCTTTGGTTGGACTTTGTTTCCCAGAGCCCACTGGCACGTCATAGATCCACTCAGGTTTGTGAAGACTAGGAAAAGTTCTGTATTCACCAACAATTCTCTGTTTGGATCCTGTAGCTGAGTGAACAGGAATGTCATACTTTGGGTCTTGAGACAAAACTGGTGGAATGGCATACACCTTTGAAAAATAATTAAATGATCAGTATCAAAGTATCAAAGTGTAACTGTAACAGTACAAAAACATCTATGACAACCAAACGTGTGTTACTGACCTGCTAATATCAATAACATGATGGCAAAAGCAAATGTTTTACTGGGAAGATTTAGGATGTGCAATGTAAGATGATATGCTGATTAGTTTTATAAGTTCGCATTAAGACCTACTTGCCCTACTTTTTCCACAAAGGTAATGGCACTTTTCATTTTCAGCTTTGGTCCTGTACACGAGGTCTTGGAGCTGAAGGAATACGCAAAGAATCCAAGCTCTTCCAGGCACTGACTGCCCAGTAAGCCTTGAAATGTGTGGCTATAAGATCACTGAGATAAATAAGCCAGAGCAACAAAAAGAGTGCAATGAAAAAAGACCCACCATGAAAATATTATAACTTGACCATATGTGAGGATCTAGTCTGCCAAACAATGTCTCAGGCTCGGGCGCAGGTTCTTACGAAGCAGAAGCACAAAAACAAGTGGTATGAGAATGTCCTACATCTCCGACGGATATGAATAGTGAATGTTTGTAGTTTTTCAGATGAGTGTTTTTCTGGAATGGAAATGAACAGGAAATGTAAGTAAACCTTAATGTTTTGGTGCAAGGTATTCTACTGGGTAGGAGTTTCACTGTGAAGAACAGACAGCTTGTTCTTCTTGCCTGAGGCAGTGCAGGGTGACACATTCTGGTGAGTGGAGCGAACAATTTACCCACCACAGGCAGTGATGGAGCCAGGAGGTGGCCAGTGGTGGCCTTGAACACCATAGGTTAATTTTTGGCCACACTAATCATTTGAGTAAACTATACTTTTAAGCAATATAAAAACCAGGAAGCATTGTTTCCTCAAATGGTTGGGGTGGTCAGTTTACACATATAAATGACAACAGCCATCTTGGACTTTTATGTGGCAACCCATTTTTCCTAAAGGAATGTTTCTATGCCTAGATGCATCCACACACTAAACTGGAAGTTTACCTCACTGATTTTTAAAGTTACCATGCCCTCAGCATGCATGAATGGATGAACTGAGAGTATTTCCAATTATGCCTCTTCTCTCCACGACAGAAGAAAATAAAGAGACAATTCTCCACCACATCATCCAATGGCAAAGGTATAAATGGACTGTAAATGTTAAATGGACTGTACTTCTATAGCACCTTTCTATCTTATTTCAAGATACTCAAAGCTCTTTACAACAATCTGTGCCTCATTTACCCATTCATACAGCTCTATACTAGATTTCTGCAAAGCTAATTGAACAAATCATTCTAATGAGACTAATCAGTGCTTTAGATCACATTCATACATTGATGGGACACACATCAGTGGCAACGAGGGGTTCAGTGTCTTGCCCAGGGACACTTCGACATGTGACTGCTGGTGGATTCGAACCCCCCAGCTCTCGCATTAGAGGACAACTGCTCTAACCTCTCAGCCACAGCAGATCAACCCAGAGCTCAGACTCAGCTATAGTGAAGAAGCAAGTGGAAGAAGGGAGCATCGTACAATAATAATGCCATATTTCTATAAGATCTAAGATCGCAGAACGAGAACCAGTACCCACCACAGTGGCATACATCCATAAACAACAAACACACAAACTAATGTTGGCCTCAGGATGGCAAACTACAAAAGAAGGTGGTGACAGATGCAGTGATTTCAAGTGACTAACATTAAGAAGAAAAAAATCACAAGAAGCTTGATAAGTACCAAGGACGGAAAGAGGAAACAAGTAGAGTAGTGTCATGGTGTCAGTAGTCTCAATGGTCTTTGGAGCACTTGGTGCTGTGAACCCCAAACTGGAAGAGAGCCTCCAACAAATCCCAACAACAACATCAAACATCTTAAACTTGAAATGAATAATGCCACTACCCATGTAGGAAAAAGTGATCTTTTCTGAAAACAACAACAGCAAAATGCTTTCTTCCTTTAGTTCCGTTGTTAAAGCATTTAAAACTCACAAAAGGGTCTTTTGAATGTCTGCTCCTTAAATGTTCTGGATTGTTAATTCTCTCCTCCAGTTGTGAAAATGGAATTAGTGTTTGCTTCAGTAACATCTGACTTGGAGCTGTTGATTCCTGGGAACAAAATAGCAGAAGACTATTAACACATCTGAGCAGCACCCAGACAAGATGTGCCATGATTCATTCTAACACTTGTGTGCACTCACAGTGAGCAGAGAAGCTCGTTTTGCTTGGGGCAGAAAATCATAAACTTCTCCTTTTGGGCTAGAGGGCGTGTTGAAGGCTGAAATCTGCAGACATGACACCAAGTTATGAAAATTATGAAAGATGCATTCCCCTCACTGACTTTTGCATAAATGCTTTTATACATTTGTGGGCAGTGTTCATCTCTGAAACCTTGTTCAGCACACACTTTTTCAATTAACACAGCCTGCAACCGAAACATGCTACTTGGTGAAAATGAGGTGACTACTGTGGAGAGGAACAGCCCTTTCCGAGAGCAGAAGAGGAAATGGTGAACATGTGGGTATGTCTCTACCCAGCCTCTTCTGCACAACCAAACATAGGTATACTTGTGTGTTTCTGGGGTTCCTGGCTGGGTGTAGTTAAAAGTGTCTGAAGCATGTGTCTGTCTGTCTTTTACAGGCTTGTAAAGATCCGGGTGCTGCACGCCTCTTCCTGTGAAGAGGCCCCTTGATCCCTTTATGCAAATTCTTTTGCCAGCAGGAGCATCACAGGGTTGCATTTCTGCAACAGCAGACATTTCTAACGATGAACATCAGCACTTCATCACAACAAGGACCAAGTTTGTTTCTAAAGAAAATATAATGCTTGGCATTTGTTGCAGGAATGCATACTACCCACCACCACACAAAACATTATCATCTGCCCTCGTTTATCAGCGACAAACAAAAAAATCTACCTTTAACTCTTTTCCGTATAGAAGTAAGTACCTTTTGTTCCTCTGGGCCCTCTGTGCCAGGTGCTGACTGGGGTAGACTCTGTGAGGTTGATAAAGGATTGGATGGGATGTTGTAGATCATATTTACGCTTTCATAGGCAAGGCTGTTGATCGGTCTCAGCCCGTTTGGAATCTGGTAAATGTCATGCACACTGACGTTGCTCTCAGCCTGAATAGCTTTGTTTTTATCCACAGTAAGGTTCGAGGAGCCTGCAGAAGTTGTGGTTTTTGGTAAAAGCTTCAGTCGGTTAGCGGGTGCCAGCCCATTGCGTCCATGCAGCGAGCACATCCACCAGCCACTGGTGTCCGCTATGTTTTCATTCATCACTGTGATGATGTCGCCCTTTTTGAAGGCAAGTTCGTCTGCACACTCTGCTGTGTTGTCATACAGAGCTTTGGCAAGTTTGTCCTAAAACAGGAAACATAAAAAGCAGAATTAAATATTTGGAGGACAAACACACTTGAAAGAATAGCAGGGAGGAGCTCAATCTTGGCAAAAGGAGGGAACTTGCTGTCAACAGAGAGGCAGAAAAGTATCTGCTCAATAACATAATCAATGTATCCAATTTGTGCTTCTTTTTCCCCCTCTTGTCCTGTCCGGCATTGTGACACTCAGAATTATTGTCTGAGTGTCAAAGTGATGCCCAACACATTTACTTTCACAAGCAGAGCATTATGGCTGGCCTTAATGCTCTGCTTGATATACAAATAAAACTTTATTAGAATTTGCTTTGGGCTTGTTTCAGATGTCATGGACACGGGGATGAAAAAACAAAGATGAAAACGAAGCAGAAAAGTGAGAGAAGGGTTAAAGGAGAAAGAAGAAGATAGGAATAGAGGAGAGAGATAAAGAGAACACAAATCAACATCATTGAAGTCTGACTCTAGACCTGCGGAAAAAAAAAAAAAACAAGAAACCACAACAACAAGCAACATATATAATGGTACTTATATCATCATTAGAAAGTATTTTATACAGTACATGGTAATACAAGATGTACTTAGTGGCCACCACAACCCAACTGAGTGTGTATCAGATAAACACCTGGATCTAAACACCTGTGTGAGCATGTTGTCACTATAAGGTTTCTCCATAAAAATGTTCAATAGTGGATGTGG